AATAAATCTTATTACGAGTTGCTTTTGATCATGTTTTACTTTTATTTTAGTTCATATATGTTAAAGCCCCAACATAAATTGTGAACATCTTAGTAGTTTCCATTCCTTCCCCCACCCCATGCTTTTATCAGGCACTTTGATTCCTGCTGAACAGCAAATATGTAACCTAGCTATTAAGCATGTCTCTCCTACCAAGTTTCGTTTACAAGGCAACAAAACTACTCTGTAGGGAAAGGCTACTATAACCTAGCTAAATTTTCAGCACTAAAAGATGCACTTCAGAATTTCATTTGGAAATCCTGAAGCAGAACGTGCTAATTCACAAGTGACAGGTCTAACACGACTTCCAATTTCATGTGTTTATCTGGCAAATGGAACCCTTGGGAGTCTGACCTCTCATCTTGGGTGATACTGAAAAGAAAGTGGTGACTTATTTTCTCTTTTTATGGGGTCGTTGTCACTCACGTCAGTTTAGTCGGCCGTTTCTATTCTGAATTAATCCAGACTAACAAAGAACATCTTGATTCCAACTGAAGATGTGATTAATGAAAAGGTTTGGTTGTCACGGTTTCTGCTTTACTTCCTTAAGAAGCAAGTGAGATTTAGAAGAGGACATATTTTCCCTTGTATATTAATAACTACTGAACTGACCTTGAATTTTATGCTCATGTTTCTTCTGAGGGTAGGTGGAAGGGAAAACAGACAAAACTAAAACTGATTCCCACTTCTGTTCTCGATTACTCAGACCCAGTAGAAAAGGTTGTGCAATTAATACAATTGGGGCAGGGCCACTTTGCTTTCTGCCCTGGTTGAAAACAGGGTACACCTTGTTAACTGTTTTCCTCCACAGGGAATAAATCGGGTCTAGTAAGATTCTTATCAACAGCAAGGGGTGTTTAAACAATCATTTCTCCAGCTGTAGACAACAGTAGTGTAAGCCAAAACCATTGGCTTGCACACTGTGGTTTAAGTGAGGACCTGAGAGAAAAGTTAATGCTGATGACTACACTACAAGCAAATCCAGTCTTTGTGTTGGGACTCTGAGGGCAGGAGGATGGGAAGGTGGTTGTTAAAAAGCTTTGAAGAATACAAACTGATTTTACTACCCTACATAAGATCAGACTTCTTCAAGAAGTGTGAAACTGACTTATCTTTTCCCTTATGTTCATTTTCATGTATGCATAACTTTGCAGCTTATGAATTATTCATTTACATCGTACAGAGTCAATATTTTATTCTGGAATAAACTTAATAGCCGAGAAAAGTTCTGCTAAGATCTTTTGTAGCTGAAATGCATCTACTTTCCTATTACTCCCTTGTTAAATTTTCTGTTCCAGTCTTTGACAAAGCAAGAAGTTTTATTGCTGATGCCATTTATTCTACCAAAGGCTATGATGTCTTCAGGATAGACTTATTCTTTTTTTTTTTTTTTTAATGGAATTCCAGTCTTTTCCTTTATATGCCTTAAGTCTTATCAGATCACCTGGCTCTTCCCAGAGATGAAACATTCATTCAAGATGCAATTGTAGATCACTCGAAAGGGATAGAAAGAAGCTCCTTCAAAGCTTATAAAATGTCTCTTTTTCTGACACATACTTTTAGGCTTTGGTGTCCTGGTAAGCCTTCTTGACATGATCCCAGTGGGAATTCTGTTGGAGACCAGACCCCACCCCTACCTCCTTCCATATCAACAATTTCCGATATTTATTTTCTAAGTAGAAACTAAGACAAGAAATCAAGAATTAATTTTCATTATGACAGTAACATGTTCTGTCCTACATATCTTTAAATACCTTCCAACAGAAAAGTAGTATTCGGTATTTACTGAGCAACTCTGAGAAACAGGAGAGGTATTTTTTTTAATCTGTTTCCTTTAAGGACTTTAAAATCCAGTGGACCAAAACTAGTCCCCAACCTTGGTAGGAGAGGAGGCTTGAGGCCCAAACTCTTAAATTCAGCATTTTCTCCCACCAGCAATACCAAAGGCTTTTTAGCCTTCAGTGTAGTAGGACTTATCTAAATGTGTGTGCCTTTAAAAATCATATTAATTCCTGTTATTTGCATTCACTTGTAGCACTTAATTGCCTTTAATGATAAAGGCACTGATTTGCATTCTGGTCGTGACAACCCTGGTTGCAGGAGCTTGTCCCAGAGTTCAGAATGGAGAGATTGGGAGCTGGGCTGTCAGGCTTTCCATTGCCTTTGCCTTCAAAGGTGGCATAGTGGGAAATGAACCATAGTCCCAGGAAGTGTGTCCCTGCAGAAACAATAGCGAGTCCTGCTGGGTGCACTCAGATTCCACTACCCAGCTCAGAGCGCAGGCTTTATAAATACTGAGGACTATTAGTGAAATATGCCATGGATGCTGTATTTTTTTTTTTAAAGTCTTAAAGTGTCTTTCATGAGCACTCTCCTTAAACTGATTTCTGTTTTTTTTCAGAGACTTCATGTGCTTAGCTGAGTGTGCTGCTCTTCTAAATGCATACTACAGCTCAGTTTGTTTGGGGAGCTATGTTATTCTAGTGCATTTCCTTCCTCCTCCCTTGGAGTTTACAGGGCTTTCTCCTTTCCAAAAAAAAAAAAAAAAAATTCTACTTCAGGCTCTGAGGCTGTTGAGATCAGCTCAGCAACCTCTGCTGGGAAAGAATGGCCCGAGTCTGCCCCCGTAATGATTTTAATTAGCCGTACATTCTGCAGGGTGCAAAGGTCTTCGCTGGAGCAGATGGCTGGTAGGGGTGGTGGCTGGGCTATTGTGGGCAGGGGCCACACCAGGACCGGAGGCTGCAGATGCTGGCCCGGCCTCAGGGCTGGAAGCTGGAGATCCAGGAGGCTGGGGCCATCTGCTCTGCAGTCCAACAAAGCAGGTGTTCCGCCAAAGAAGGCATTCCAGAAATCGGTGCCGCCTGTACAGCCGACATGTGTGGCGCACCCTTGTCCAGCTGTAGGACAACCCAAGAGCTGGCTACAACTGCCAGCATGACATTGAGATGCATGTCCCACAGAGTGGATTCGGAGGGGACTCCCTTTGTCTGCCTGAGGGGAGTGGGGACTATCTTCTGAGCAATCATTTTGGGGTTGGACAACCTCATCTGACCTTCTCCCCTCTGCCTACTCTTAATGGGGCTGTTGCCAGTACACTGACATGGTAATAAGGACAAGGTAGCCCCTGTCTTTCTGTAGCTGCCTACCGGGCACTGTCTGCAGGGGACACTGTCTGCAGGGAGGGACCCAGGGGAAGCCTTGATCTTAAGTTGAATTAGAAGTTCATTGCTTCATCACAATCATCATGCTCAAAGCTGTGGTTCCTGGGGATTTCCTTAGCCTTATTAAGGTATGATTGTAAAAGTCATGTATGTTTACAGTGTGCAACATGATGTTTTGATATGTGGATGCATTGTGAAATGATTAAATCAAGCCAGTTAACGTATCAAGGCTGTAGCTTTTAAAGAGTCTCTTCTGGGCTTGTTCTTTAAAGCTGGCACTGGTCTGTCTACTGTTTCTTCTCCCCTTGTCCTAGTCTTATACATCCAAGTAGTAAGAATATTAATTGTCATATTTGTTTACTTAACAAATGCTTAGTACTTACCGGCACTGTCGTAAGTGCTTTTCAAATATGAAGCAGGCCGTCAGAGCTAGGTGTTGTCATTCATGTACTCATGAGGAAACTGTGGCACACAGTGGTTAAGTAACTTGGCCAGGGTCACACCACAAGTAAGAGGTAGTGCTGAAATTGAACTCGAGTATGGCTCTGCAGTTCAAACCCCTAACCACATCATTTTTCAGACTGAAATAAGAACAACAGCTAAGGTTTCCCTTTTGGGTACACTGTAGTGTCCTCCCTACTTTGTAACATACTGAGAGGTCACAGAAACTGGCAGAGCCAAACAACCCAGACAGCCTCTCTGCCAAACCCTTGTACTTACCTGTCTACAACTGTGCCTCCAGATTAGGGAGAAACTGAAGTCCCACAGAATGCTTTTGTGTGTGTGTTAATATCCATTCTTTCTCTAATGAGAGGCTACATACATTTCAAGGGAAGAAATAAAAAATCTTATGAATTCAGTCTTCTGAACACATCTCAGCAATTGTCTCTCCCTTTCCCCACTACTTTTCCAAAGATTTTGTGATAATATTCCTCCCAGTGCTCATGGCAGATCTGTGTCTACAGGCCACCTGCCAGGCTTCCACTGTGCTGGCTAAGCCATCAGCAGTTAAAGGACCCACTTCCAGAATGATGCCTCCCTGGACCACCACCAGCAACCGAATGATTTAATCTCCCCAGCCTTCTAACCTGCCTTCCCCTCCTTCTCTCCCTGCTTTTTAATTGGAGCTACTGGCTCCAGGCAGTGAGAATGAAAATAAATGAGCTGTGAATGAATGGAATCTTCCCCCACCAACCCCCCTGAAATAGCAATTTAATAACAAATGCTCAGCTTGTGCTTTTCTCCCTCTTACTGAGGGAACAGACCCTTGTTGGAGGCCAGGTAGGAAAAAGCACAGAATACCTCACATCAGCGTGGTAAGCCCCATCTCCAAATGAGGTGGTCTCGGAGTGAAGATGTAGCCAATAGCATAAACCCGCTTCTCCTTTTAGCAGGGTGGTCCTGGCTGGATCTGTGTTTCTTAAAAAGGATCTTGGGAGGAATGCTTGGGATACCACTATTCCCAGAAGACTTCAAAGCATCTTTAAACTGGCTGGGTGTAGTGGCTCACACTTATAATTCCAGCACTTTGGGAGGCTGAGGTGGGTGGATCGCTTGAGCCCAAAAATTCAAGACCAGCCTGGGCAATGTGGCAAAACCCCATCTCTACCAAAAAAAAAAAAAAA